CCTGCTCACGCCGTTTCTCTGTTTTTTTTCGCTGCCTGTAGCCGAAGAGGCGATCGGCGCGGCTGTCTGCTGTAAGTACCGAAGCCAGTGAGGGGGGTGTGTCTCTGCTGTACGAAAAGGGGATTACCGAGGGCTGAATCTCTCCCTTGCTTGTTCTTTCTTCTCAGAAACCTGCTCCTGCCAAAGCAGAGCCAAAACCAAAAAAGTCAGCGGCAAAGGTGAGAGTCAGGGGGAAGAGGGGAGGGAGAGGTCGGGGTCGAGTTCGTTGTGTAAGTGCCTTGCAGCATCCCATTTCATGTCATCCGTGCACAGTGACTGTTCGCAGTCATCTTCACATGTTCCTTGTGGGAACGCTCATTTAGCTGAAGTACCGCTTTCGGATGCTTCTGCCGGTATCTACAGGTGGTACATTGCACCTCTGTTGGATTAGATCCTTGTTAAGCACTCAAAGTGTTGCATGGAAGTGTGGGCACTGATTCATGGGTGTTAGATGGTAGGCTGGTACCGAGCAGAACTACTTGAATGTCAAAGCAACCATACATAGGATTGTAGTTCATCACTGTAACAAAAGGAGATAAAATATACTCACAATTTAAACCCGTATACCAGGAGAGGATAAAAATATTTTAATTATTTAGGCAGCCACTACAAAAGATCTGAGTTTCCATTCATGTAGTCTAGCTGTCAGGTCTTTGTGTGTATGTGCAAGTAAGTGTGGTTTACTATGATCCTTCAGAGTTTTTCATAGACTCATAGAATAGTTTGAGTTGGAAGGGACCATGGAGGTCATCTAATCCAACCCCCACTGCAGTAAGCAGGGACATCTTCCACTAGATCAGGTTGCCCAGAGCCCCATCCAACCTGACCTTTTCAGTATAGCTTTCACAATGCCAGTAACTGAGGTGTAAAATTCTTTGTTTCTTGCGAAAAATATGAGGCTGTGTATCTGTTGGCCTGTAGGTATATGTGTTAAATGCTCTTTTGTGATTAATAAGCTTTGTTTTTTAATGTATGGTTTAAGAGCATTTCAAATACACTAATATAGAGCTCTGCTTTGCAGTCTTCTTGACGTTTTTGTTTTATTAATCCTACTGAACAGTTAGTTACCAGTAATGTACCTTCATTCCAATGGTTTGGATGTCAGTGCATTCCCAGTCTCAAAGTTCTAAGCCTAAAGAATTTGGGGAAGCTTTCCAATTTTACTTCCATTTTGATTATCTTTTTTTCCAGTGTCTGTGGTGCATCTAATTCTTAATGCTGCTAGTTGATACTGACTGATACGCATGATCCTGACTTGTTGCCTATAACTACTTCACTTCTAGAAAGAAACATTTCCACAGTATATATCTGGGAACATGTTCATCTAAACCAAGTACATCACAAACAATTGTAGTCTTAGAATACTAAGTAGAACACCTGGCATGAGGCCTCCATGGAATGCTGCTGTGATGTGACTATGTGAACAATCTTTCTTAAATCACTGTTATCGTAGGCAATTCAAATAAATGTGTAAATTGTTTTACATTTGATCCTCTTTGTTCTAAAACTCATTCTGTCACTAAAATCTTTTGTCATTTGGAAACTTTTTGACTGTTAATGTAAAAATCTCCTCTGCATTTTAATTCTCCACCTTCAGTACTTTCTGTCTCATTTTAGCCATTTCTGGACTTTCTTTAAATGGGTTGCAGAAATATTTCACTGTTACATACCAGTCAAATTATAGGTCTTAAAAGGTTTTTTTAAGGTGTTACCTTTTTTCTATATTTCATTCATCAAAAAATGCTTTGCATCAACTCTGTAACTTTTTAAAACTTTCCTGATAGTATTTTTTTCTGGTTGGGAGAAGATTTCTCATTCTAGAGTTGTTACTTGGTGGGTTTTTTAAAAATACATATTAATGAAGGAAAATATATTTTGATAATCAAAACACAGAAGTCCACATGTTGTGGAATTGTCTGTTACCTGAATTTGTAATACTGAGTTTAGCTTTTATAAGTTTTTAAAATTATTTTTTTTCCATTAACGTGTTTGAACTGTTCTTCTCTCTGCTCTTGAGGATTTAAAAAATTATCTTTTCTAAAAATAGGAGCAAAGAATTTCAAAAGTTTTCTGGACACTGAAGATTTAGTTACCTGACACAAGATGCTTCAGCATTCATTTTTTTGCCTTGCATCTCTTGTATATGTAATGTAACTTCCTGCATGTTTGTATCCAGGGGTGTAAAACACTTAGAACTTCTGCTCAATAGCTGCAATTGGTTGACAAAACTGTATTTTCATGAAGGCGGTATTTTACATGAGCATTCATGTAAAATAGGAAATGTATTCAGATAGCTATTAAAAAGTTACATGTGTGAAGTAAGGAAGTTGCATGGTTTTTGTAAGGATGATTGCTCGGAGTGATGTTAGTATGGAATGCTTCTGACCAAACAGTTCCCAATAGTAATCAGAGATACACATTTCTACAGTACTTAAAATATACAAAAATGAGAACTTTATTTCTTGGAGTGAATTTTAGGTCAGAGACAACAAATTGGGACATAATTTGAAGAACATACTTAAGAAACAGAATATTTTTAATGAGATTAGACACATTTTAAGGTAAATCAGTGTAGTGGTTGTCTGCTTCGAGGTGTAAATGCATTATGTTCTCTTGTCACTTATTCATGGTGTACCAGAAAAAGTGCAATAGTTTGTCTTTTATGGAAAATCTTGTTAGTATCATTAAGTAATGTTTGACAGATGGTGTCAAAAACAGTGCATTTATGTAATTCTGAATCAATAGAAATATTCTGTAAGTAGGGGGATTAGCTGGAGGACAGGCAAACTTTGTAGCATTTGGTTGCTGTAAGGAATGCCTGGGAAGGATGTGTTGCATATTTATATGAAAATAGCCCTTGAACAAATACTTCTTCCCTACCCATTTAACAACAGTCATGTAGATAACAGAGGATGTGACTGGGATACTAACAAAGGAGCACTGAACATGATACTTCCAGGTGATGCACTTATTTTGGCTAAGTTACTGAAATCCCCACCTATTGATGTAAGAGGAAAAAGAGAGCGTGAAGTGTTTCATATTTACAAAGTGGAAGGTACTGCATTGCTGTTTTTTTATGCACCATGAGGTTAAATCATGTATTACAAATTTCTCTGTCTAGCCACTAGAGTCTAGTTGATCTTCTTATCCCAGTTTGATTCTCTCATTTTATTGACTGTCTGAAATTGATTGTATATAGTTTGGAAAACTTTTTTGGCAGTTGAACTACATCTTAGCTCATTGGTTGTTGGTCGTGGCTCTTTCTGTTTAGCAAGTCCATCTTGGTTTTGTGTGGCTTTGATTATTTTCAAAGTTTACCTAGTAGGTCATATGAATTTACTTACTGTAAATGTATGTCATTGTAGGATAAATCTGAGGACAAGAAAGCTCAATCAAAAGGCAAAAAAGGGCCTAAAGGAAAACTGACAGAAGAGACAAACCAAGAGCAGACAAAGGACAACTTGCCTGCAGAAAATGGGGAAGCTAAAAGTGAGGAGGTAAAGTTGTCTGTATTCTTTGGTGCAAATCAGCAGGATAGCTTACTGTACTGGTTTATCCAAACATCTATCAGAAACATACGCAGATCTTAGAATCTATTTCTGCCAAAAGAAGGATGTAGTTTATTGAAACATTAGTAGATATGCCTGAAAAATTTTAGTTGCCCCAAAAAGAGTTGCTGTGATGTGATAACAGTCCCTGAAATTAAGGAAAAAGGTGAGAATTTTACCAAAGTTCGAATGCAGGATAATGTCCTTCAGAGAGTGGCTGTTCTCCCTGCAGGTAGGTCTTGGTAAAATAATACATATAGGGTGTACAGAGGGGATATTGGTCTGTGTGGGGTGGGGGTGTCTGTCTTTGGAGGACTTTGTTTGGGCTTTAGTCTGTCTTTGCTGTTACTGGAAGGTTTCTTCTTGCTACAGAAGTCTTTCTGACAAATGCAGTATTAATTTTCTTGGGACTGGAAGCAGTTTTCACTGAAAACCCAAAGCTGAAATGATTTAACTAAAGTTGAGGTAATATTTATAGGAGTCATAGATACAGACATTGCTGGTGGAAGGGACAGGCTGGTGCAGGGATGGAAGAGAAAGCGCGAGAACTACCAATCATTGCTGCTGAAGCAATGAGCACACCATGTCAGTCTTGGCTTTAATACTGTGTTAAAATGGCAGTATTGCTGAAGTTTTTTGGAGTCACTGACCATCTAACTTAAAACATCCTCCACACTGTATTCTTCTTCTGAAATGTGGACATAATTTAAATTTAGGACAAGATCTGTAGGGAGAAGTAGTGCCTCTTACTAGGGCAGCTGATAACAACTGGATGAAACACAAGTTTTCATGTCGTAACAGGTCTAGAATTAGTTTCAGGTGTCTGCAATGGTGAATGCCTCACTCATTTTAATTAGTTCAGTGGAGTTTGCTGATCAGATAGATTATTTTTTTAATGTAACTGTGTGATTCATGCTTTCTGTCTGGCTGTTGCATTGAAAAGTAATTTTTTTAAAGATAGAAAAAAAGTCTTATCTGAATTCTATCACACTGATCTATCAGTGTGCAGATAGGTCTTCAAGTAGAGGAAAAGAGTATTTGGTTTTTAGGTAGATGATGGGTTTTGGTGATTGAGGAAGCTACAGAATGGTACTTGAGCACACAAAACAAACTTACTCTGGGGTAAGACTTTCTCATTTGCAAGCTTACGACTTTGTGAAAAAGTTGTCCTGGAACCATGAACTCTTTAGTTAGCTTAACTTTCTTTGTGGCTATGGCTCTGCATTAGTATCGCGTAATCTGGTCTTTTAATTTGTACGTGTAGTATGCAAAAGTTAAATTTGGCAGTATTCTCAAGTGGGGTCTACTTAATACGCTAGTGCAGAGAAGATATGAATTTACAAGGAATGGATGATGACTTCTGGGGCACGTTTTCATGGTGGTCACACCAGCCAAAATTGTAGATGTAATATAATATGTAAGTCTAGAAGAGGCAGAGGTATCATCTGTCCTGTTTGACTTCACTGTTTTCAATCTGGGTAATGGTGTCAGTGGTGCTATTGTTAATCCATGATCTGGTGAAAAGCCAGTGACAACTTCTGGTGACACTCGAGAGACTGATGCCTGTGAATGGAAATGGCTTCTGTACTTCATCCTTCAAAAGCTTCCCCCAGGTGGCAGTACAGCCAGAACGGGTGCTAGGGTTTTTGTTTGGGTGGTGCTGTGATTAAACTGTTGGTGGTGCTGCAAAGCTTTGGAGTAATTAAATGAAGTATAATTTTATGTTAATACGTTGCATTCCTTTTTTTAACCTACTTTGCAAATGCAGTGAGTTTTCCAATCTAGGTGGAGTTGTAATCAATCAAATTTGTATGAACTTGTTCTGAAGTTGAGGGACAGCATGTAGAGACTTGAAAACGGTATAGCTCTACTGTCACAGGTCAGTTTCACAGAATGCATTTTTACAAAATTATGTTTAATGCAGTACTGTGTTTCTAAGTCTTAGTTACTGTAAAACACCGCAGGATTTAAGAGTATGTTAACAGTGCTGCACTGAAATTTAAATGCATAAAATGTATCTATCGGGTCTTTTCTAAACACCCTGTATGCAGGGGTTTTACCTTTGGAGGTCGAAAAGCCCCATTTTCCTGTCATAAAGGCAGTAATTATTGAAATGGGTTTTGTTCTTAAAAAAAAAAAAAATCCTTTGCAGTGTGTACTGAGTAGTAACAACAGCAACATTCTGAAATTCACACTGATGCATCTGAGGAGATAGAGCCTTTTCAGGATAGTTTGTTTTTAGTAGGTCATTATCCAAGAGAAATAAGCAGATTGTGACAGCAATTTATTAAGACTGTAAAGCATGGTATGTAGAAACAAGTCTGTTCTGTGTGTCAAGTTAGCTAACTTGGACATTAAAAATATTATGAACTAAGAGGCTGAGTCACTTAAAACTTTGTGCATTGAAGTGTTCTGGTTTTTTTCCTCTTCTTTTCAGACCCCAGCATCTGATGCAGCAGTAGAGAAAGAAGCAAAGTCTGAGTAACATCTGGTACCAAGACTTTAATTAGTGGTCCTTATACCTTTCTTCTTGTACAATTCAGAGGAATATTTTTATCAAGTATTTTGTAAATGCAAGTTTTTTAGTAGTTCTAGAAAACACATTTTTAAAAAGGAGAGAACCCCGATTCAACCCATTTTTTTACAGATTTAGATAAGTATAAATGCTTTTTTTAAGTGGTAAAAACATGTACTGGTTGTCTGTTTTCTATGAAACCAGAAATTAATGGCATGGTACATTAAAGAGAGGGTTTTGAAGTCTTGATGAGGCTTTGCGTTCCACTGTGAGGGACAGTTTTTCTATCGTATTAAATCAAGCATAACACAGGTCAGACTTTGGAATTCATAATGATATGTTGAGAATGTCTTAACATTTTAGTTATTTATCTTTATCTGTGGTTGTACCATGAGTACCCATGCTTATCTAATAAAACTGCTCCCTAGTGTTAGATTTCTTGCTGAGTGATGCATATCTGTGACAAAGTTATTTTGGGTAGTTGCGGCTTTATTTTTTCCAACAACTTTGTAGCTGTGATGGGAAAGATGGGAAACTTTTATTATATCTTTAAGTACTGATGTAAGTTAAAGTTTCTGCTTGGCAAAGTAACTTGTTATGACAGTATTCAAGATACTGGAACTTAACATTCAGTTTTAAAGGACAGCTTGTCTACAAAGATCAAAATAAAAATATTTGAAATAGTCTTAGGAAAAAAAGAGAATTACAATTTTTAGATTTAAAAAAACTATGTGAATAAAAACAGTTGTAAAATCGTTCATAGTGTCTATGATGACAGAACAAAAGCCAAATAAATCTTGATTATGAAAGGATGTTTCTGTAGCTCCTGGATTGACTGTGACAACTCACAATCTAAGTGGTATAGTTTTTGATTCTTAACCATGTTCTTCATATTGTTAAAAATGTACTTTACAAGAGATAGGTGGTAATGCAGGGAATGAGTAGCAACTAGAAATCTGTAGTTGCAGTCTCAAGCTGGACTTCTATTTTGAAAGCTGACAGTCTAGTGCTGCTTCTGTTACCTTAAAAAAAACCCCCAGTAATTAGTAAGCATCAGATATTTTTATCTGTTCAGCATCTAAGACTTTGCATGTGCACTTGTGTATAAATAACTGCTTTAAGGAAGATGCACAGAGCAATCCTCTTGAATGTTAACTGATCAGATGGTGGTGCTGTTGTGTTGAAATAGTATTGGGATTTCCCCGAGTCTTGCCTTAAAATCAGTAAAGATTCAGACGTCTGGGGAAAAATGAGCCTGGGCTGTGAACTTCTCCGGGTGAGTGAGTGTATGTAATGGAACCCACTGAGGATGAGCTGTTGGAACAGCCTGGGCAGGAGCAGAGAGGGAAGCACAAGAAACCTTCCCTTTTGGTGCTGATTAGCTGTTAGGTGAGCTTACCATGCTGTGAGCAAGTGTACCTGCTGTATAAGGTTGCAGATTGACAGAACATGGTTTCAAATAAAACATACCTGGGCAGAGAGCTAATTCATGTAGTACAAAACTCCTGATTCTTCCTTGCTGTACATGAGAAAACTAAATCAATCTTGTTGAAGATTTAACAGCCTTTCATCAGAAGGGGATGTATTAAGTATATATTACCTTAACCTTAAAAAAAATAAAATCTAGTACAGCATTAATTCAGTTCTCTCACAGAGTACAGGTTTGTTTTGTGGGTTTTTTTCCCCCATTTCACATTATTTTGCTGTATTGCAGCAGGTAGTAGCATGGTTTTATCTTGCCAGTATTTGATGCCAGTCAGTCAGCTGTGTTGTGGGAGGAGTCAAGATCAACAAGTAACGTTCTGGTTTTTGTTTCATCTTTTTTCCCCTTGACCAAGAAGTTGTTTATGCTCTTAAGTAACACCTGAAAGCACAGTATCTGCTTCCTGTACATTTTTGGTGCCTTCTTCAAATTGTCATGCAGTTGTTTCTAAAAAAACACTTTAGTTTCACCTCTTATTTTCTTAAAGAATGCTTTAATTTGACAAAGCATTTTACTGTTTTACCTCTCCAACTTTTAAGCTGTGTTGTAACTTCTCTTTAGCTTATACAGAGAACTGGACCACATTCCACCACAGCTGTGTTGCTAGCAAAGTCCACCTGGCTTTGGTAGTGGCTTTGGCTTCAAGTTCTTGGATATTCCAGAACTGTAAATTTATGCTGCTTTTTCTAAGCCCCTTTCCTTCCCCACCAACTCCCACACCCCTCCAGTTACCTTATTTGTTGATATAATTTAGCAGTAACATGACATAGCTACATGACATTCTTCACTTTGTGCTTTTAGCAAGTCAAAACCACCAGGTAAATGACTAATAAACTTGCAGGTAAATACCCCGAAATAACCTCTTACCTCCTTTTACTGAATGGCAACTTTTCATGTGTTTGGAGTCTCTAATGTTGAGATCCTGTTAACTTTCAACATTGTCTCTCCACCATCTATTATCCACTGTTTAATTTATGGTAACTGCTCCCTAATATTTACTCTTGGGGGACAAAAAGTTTTCTTTCTTCTATGGAAGTGAAAAAGGACTCAGTGAGGGTAAATCAGTGACAGCTTCTCTCATACAAGAGAGAGGAATTTTGATGCTTGCAGAAGGACAGGACAGAGGTAGTTTCATCAAGAGCACAGGAGCCCTAGATCTGTTTTGAGCAGCACAGCCTGCTTGATGCAGTGAAGGATGAAGCAGGCTTTCCTAACTCCATTAAGTATGCCTAGTAAGTACATGGGTGAATCAGCTATGAATTTGGATTGATTCTGCAGTAGGTAGGGTTGCCTTTCACAACTCTTAATGTGTGGTGCTCCAGAGCTGATAAATCCAGATACAGGCGTGAAAGGATTCTCTTAATTAATGTAAAGATAGCTACTGTTAGGGCACACTTTGAGAAGAGGGGGGAAGAAAAAACTTTCAAAGATGCATTTGCCAGCAAGCAGTTCACTTGAGGAGAAAGAAAACTAATTTCAAGCTAAACGTGTTGTACCCCATAAAGAATAAAGTTATTATAAATGACAGATCTTATTGCCCTTTTCCACATAGTATGATATGCCAAGGTGGAAAAAAACCACTTTGGCTACTGGGAAGACGAGGAATTGTATATATTGGCATGAGCTGTCAAATCTGCCTGTGGAGAATTGGATTGGAAGGCACTTAAATTCCTCTGACAAGAATTTCCATGGGCATGCTTCAGAAAAAGCATTCTTTCCTGTACAATGCCAGATATATATTTGCTATGTGCAACTAAGGAATGAAGTGATGGCTGATGAAGATTTGCATACGGCATTACGGAACGCATACACAATGGAGAACCAGCCATTTCAAAATACAACATAAAGAGAGCAAAACTTGGTTCTTTGAAGTTACTTTGAAGTATTTGTATGCTGCTACTAGTTTTGGTTAAGAGAGTGCCGTTTTGTACATGTTCACGCTGCATGATTCTGGAATTCATTTTCTAATGTCAACTACATCACAGCTCTTTAAAACATGAACAGCACACTGAAGAGCATCCAGGTTTAGCTAATGAATACTGATTTGTTTAGCAATGAAATCTAGAGGAACACAGGTGGCCTTTAAGAATGATGCAGCTGAAGCTTGCAACAATACAGGAAGCCAAAACCCATGGATTTCTTTTAAAGAGGGATTTTTCATGGGCAGGATACTTTTTTTTTCCTTACACCTGAACTGTGATGCAGGAGCACTAACCAGGCAGAAGGTGGTGAAGAGCAGGAAGCAGAGGCCGCAGTCTGGGGAAACGGCAGGCTGCTGGGCCTGCACTTCAGGTGTACAAAAGCTTGCTGTCAAAAGCTGAAGGCACATATGAGGTAGTGAGATTAATAAAATACAGATGTATTTCTACAATGATACGTCAAATTATTTTACTTCAAAGATTATGAAAATACTAAGCCATGCCAGGCGGGGAATGGAAAAAGAAAGGAACAGCTCAGATTTAGAATACCGCATGAGTAGCCATTGCTACATTTACATGAGAATTCATGCGGGGCAGAGGTGAGAAACAACGGAAAGATGGAGAAAAAACAAAATCCTCCATGAACAGGCTTCCAAAGCTGGGGTGGGGTGGAGGTGGTGCTTGTACCTGTTTGCAGAAAAGCTGTGCAGGGCACTGGGGCAAAGCTGCTGGTTTTGGAAAGGGAATGCCAGTGAAGTGATGCTTTCATCGAGCAGGGTGGGGAAATGCCACTCCCGAAACTGAGGTTTAGGGTCGCCAAGGTGCCCCCCAGCATCACACACGAGTGTCCGTGGTACAGGAGGAGACTAAACAGTCTGAGGAGTGAGGAAATCGGCCTGCACTGACAAGTTAAGAATCAAAACACAACCAATTGTGTGTAAACACACTGTATTTGGTGATGCGGCGCCTGCAAAAACACTCGTGCTCCTGCCCGA